TCTGATCAAGCTTAAAATATATTGATTTTGAAATAGAAACTTTCATGAATGGAACCGGGAAAGAAAATAAATGCACCATCATTGAAATAATATTTTTTAATATTAGCACATATAAGGGTAAGAAATGCCCGATATTTTTCCGATATTGGCTCTATATGGAATTTTAGTTTAACATATTTTATATCCATTATTCAACCAATATAGGCCCTATATAGAATTGTCCATTTTACCCGACATTTTTCAGCCACTTTTCATCCAATATTGGCTCCACATGGAATTGTTATTGCTCAATATTAATATCCATTCTTGGACCAATTTTGAAAAAACTAGACATTCCTATATTGGTCCCTCGACGCATTTTCTTATGACTTATATTGAGCCAATTAATGTAAAATTATTGCTGGGTTTGTTACGGTGTATAGTTAGAAGCGCTATAGTGTTGTTAGGTTTCAACGTCACTCATACGATTGGAGTCATGGGTGCGATTCTAGAAGGCAACTAAACAACTCAACGTATGTATGCAGAAACATAAATTCTAGATCTTCTTAAATTGGAAAGTTTTTTAGTTAGCTGTGACGTTAAAATTGGATAGGAGAGTCTCAGTACAGGCGCTGTCAAAGATGTCTGACCAGTGTTCGGATATACAATGTGGTGTGCAATCAGTATAATTATAAGAGATTTACAAACTTGAAACGCAAAGTATTTCTTAGTGGTTACTTCCTTTCGGAGTTTGAAAGTTTAGGAATATTAAAAAAAAAATACAAATCACATACGAAAATAATTTTATTTCCACTTACAACATCATTTAAAAACATTTATAGCATTAGCAGCTTAAATTTCTCAGGAAAAAAGAAAGATAAAATTCTCCTTGAAAATAGAAAACATTTATTTCAACCAGATTCCTTCTTTTCCTGTAAATAAAAAATAGTTTTCTTAATTAGCCATTTTTATAATGTGTCTTACACATAGGGGAGCTAACTAGAAGAATTACTAGAGTCAAAGAAATAAAGACTGCAATGGGTTGTTTAGATCAGTTTATGTAATTGAACACGGCATTATTAAGATATTATATATAAAAACTTGAAATTTACAGCACTTCCTTGAGGTGGGTCTGGCCACCATCATGAACTTACTGAGGTGAATTGAATCAAAGAAGGACGAAATTTTAGCTTTACTACCTAGAGAATCGAGGCATTATTTACAGCTTATTTTTTTAAGCTGAATTGAATGCGATCAGAGTCAAGCTTATACGAATAACGATTTTGGAGTTATAAGCTATAGAATAAAGTATATATAAAATAAAAATTTTACGACACATATTCACTTAAACTTTTGATAACTTTATTTAGTGAATGAAAGTATTGTGCCTTGAGTCATTTTTCAACTGAATAAAATAAAAACAAAATAAGGTTGTTAGTTAAGTGTTTGCTGCCATGAGAAGTACAGGAATGTACTTATACATGCGTGTGACTTTACTATTATAGGTATAAGGTATTGTTTCTTATGCATTTGGTTCCGCTGAAATGAAAGGGATCAAATACTTATGATTTTTAACCACAAGTAACTCATAAATTCTTAACGAAGAGTTGCTTTTAGTCTGATTTAATTTAGTTTTAAAAGCATTTTTGTTTCAATTTTCCAGGTAAGAAAAACGGAGGCGTAAGTGGGAATAAATCAAGCATTGAAAATGTCAACACTAAACTTATTAAATATCTTACGACCTCTAAACTATTTTGCTTACCGACTGAGTTTTGGACCAGAAAGGTTTCGTAAACGTTTTTTTTTTGCACTTAAAAGTCGATAAAAAAATCATTTTGTTTATAAAATATATTATTATAATAATTTTATGCAAGTACATTTTATTAATACGTTAACCGTAACGAAATGAATAGATAGCTGAATTTGAAAAATAACCAACTGTACTGTAAAAGGTAATCAATTGTACAAAACTTAAATTTAGGAATATTCAGAATGTGCAACACGAAAAGAAGTAATAAAAAAAGTCATTAGATTCAGCGCAAAAGGAATACACGGGAAACAATACCTCACTTGTCTAAAAAGTAAAATTTGAAAACAAATACGAAAAATTAAGGAAAAAAGTAAGCATAAAAATAATCATTTGACAACATATGTCAACCAGAGCTTGAGACATTTCAAGTGGTTTTTAGTAAGAATATGTTGTTGTTTCTAATGCGACTTGACACACGGGCAAGCCTGCTTGGTGAAACCGAGCACGTTTAAGGTAGAGTGAGCGTTTCTTGTTTTTCAGTGGCTCCATCTATGGCCAAGAATTCGACTTGTGCCACATCATACGTCACACCCGTTTATAGGGCGGATCCATTCATACATCCATTCATTCATCCGCAGATCGTAATTTTGACCTGAATCAGTGAACGATCGATCTCCAATCCAGTACTCCCAGAGGTATTGATTTGATATGGGAACATGGAGGACTTTTGAGACTCGACAGACTTAACGTGCATCAGTAACTTTACTACTCTTTGGCCGGCGGGGTTCGAACCCACGAACTCTCGGACATGGGCCCAGCGCCCTACCGATCAGGCTACCCCGGCCTCGAGTATAACAATTGCATGAGATATCTAAATTCGATGTCATGAAGTGAATGCTGATTGTGTATTATTGGATCAGTAGCTATCTTGTTCAAACTACTTTCATGGTAATAATTTTAAAACAAATCATATTCGATTTATTTTTTATATGCGCACAAGTTACAAACAGTTTACCATATGTTACTAATTCAGCTCTCGATGTTGGACAAAGCTTGCACATACTTAAAAGAGATTTCGCGTTTTCTTGTAGCATTCTTAACGTTCAAAAACGTAAATTTTTTTGCTTAATTTGCGTTTTCTATAGAAATTGCGCTTAGCATATCCATTAAATTAGTCACTTTCAATATATGCTTTCTGAACGTGGTTTTCGGTTTCTTTTTCTGCAACAGTTTCTGTACCTTTAATATACACTCGCACAAATTAAAAATCTGTTTCTCCTTTTATAAAAAATCTTTGTAAGCTAATGTTAATGTTCTTATGCTGATGCTAAATGTGTGCATGCTATCATTTCACAGTAAATGTTTGTATGCGAAACTAATAGTCATTCTATAATTATCGTTTCAGATTCCTTATTTACGAAATCCATCATGCCTTGTTTTCCATTTTAAAATAAGCGGACTTCATACTCTAACTATCAGATCATATTACAACACAATGTAACTTCAGTGTATCCTTATAACTTGCCCGTTATATATATTATTATATATGCGAAAAGTTATATATGCGAATTATTAATTATTAATTATTATAATGCGAATTATTAATTATTATATATGTGAAAAGTTATTATATTTTAAAAACAAATCAATAGATTAAAAACTACTTAGTAAGTGAGGTATAGTTAATATTTAAAGAAAAATCAATTACGTCATAAATTACAAAAGTGAAAATAATTGACTTGTTTCAACTGCTTAATAGTATGCCTCTATATATTTGAAGAGTTTATATAATCAAGTACATCTTTTATCTTCAGTTACTTGGAACTATTTATTTAATTATAAGTAAAACTTAAGTGTACGAAGCAATAAGACATTTGTGAAAACACTTTCATGCCAGTTTAGTCTAAACTTGTAAATTCAAATCTAAGAATTTGTTTTTCTTTTCAATTTAATTTACTGTCAATGATGAAATAAATTTATTACGGCCCCGCAGTGGACTGATCGTTAAGACACGGTTCCCAGCAGATCACCGAAGTCAAGCATCACTGGCTGCGGTCAGTGTGCGGGTGGGTGACTACTTGGATCAGTCTGCGTAGGGACCAAATGTGTGCGGTATTGGCCCTCGGTAAACTGTTCTACCGTAAAGTGCTCGACTTCGCGTGCTGGTCGTCGGGCTACCGAAGCGGGGGTGCCATCCCCTCTACAGAGGATCGAAATTGTGATGGCATGTCTTCGGATCATCCTCAGGGATGTTTACCTGGCCATCGCCAATAGCTCATTGTGCAGCTCTTGTGCGACGTAAATGAACTACAACAAGTACAACAATAAATTTATTACGAAAATAGCACTTACAGATTGATTTTGTTTTTGTACACATTCAATCGTGTAAGGTCAGAGCCTTTAAAACTTTTTAAATGATTTTATTATCTCATAAAAATTATAGTTTTGAAAACAAAAAAAGTTGTTAAAAAGAACTCGATTCAGACTAAACTCGAGCATTGGCCAAATTAGTTTTATCTCCATAAAATTACTTTGTAATATGTTTCTCTTATTGATTACTTTAATAAAAAAAATGTCTTCACGAAACATGCAATTTTCCACTATCGTAGTACTTGTTTAATAAAATACGCATCAGTACCCTGAGAAAAAAATATGATCATTACTCCCACAATACCGTTAAATTTACCATATTTCTGATTCCATGATAACTCCAAAAGGCACGCTAATTTTTTGTGAAGCTCTTTAATAATGATTATGTTAACCCTCCTGGCGGTGGACCCGAAATAACTCGGGCATGATTTCTACACTTAAAGCGGCAAGCCCGAAATAACTCGGGTTGCCTGTCTGCCTCTGTAGCGGTGGGCCCGAGATTTTGGTTGGTATTTTTTTTCCTTCCCCTACGACCGCCAACTGGGTTCTAATTGAGAGGTGGGGATAGCTGTCATCATAAATCACTATATCAGAAGAGTTGTGAGTTTATTCAAGAGTTCATAGTATGTACGATCATATCAGGTTTGAACACATTTATGAAAATTTTGTAAATGTGTTTAACACTGATAATTTTATTTTGATACCTAAGATCTGTCATAAACATATTTATTTGGATAAAATTACATTAATTGCAAAACTAATTTTTTACAAATCCTAGGTTTTTTTTTCTCTTTGTAATTGAAATGGTGAATATTACAAAAAAACTGCCTTATAATTAGCTGTGAATTAAGCATTACCATGATACCAGAAAAAAATTAGATTTTTTGAACTGAACTTACTCAAAATGTGCTTCTTTCCCCTTTACTCTTTAAAATTTACGAAGTATTTAGTCTGTATTTTACTTTGTTCAAGCAGTTAGGTTCGGTTTTTTCATCACTTCCGTTTTTATTCGTCGTTCAAAGATTTGATACTTGAGACATAATCAGAATCATCGTTACTGGGAGCTTGATGATGTAGATGAAAGAAATGTTAGAAGTTTGCACTTATGGTGTTAAGAATGCAAAATTTAAAACAATCTTGCATCTGAAAGAAATTTAAAAATAATTAAGCACATAGCAAGCTTAGGCAAAAAGAAAATGTTGCTTTTGAAACAATAATTTTTATAGCAAAATTCAAAATGTTAATTTCTTCGACAATTTTGCTTTCTTTTTGGTCTTATTTTTTTTGAAAAAAATACTAAATTTATTGTTTTTCCTTTTGTTAGAGTTAAACACATTTAAATTAAATTTATCTGCAAAAGAAATAACAAAAATATATTTTTCGTAGTGTAAGTTAGCAATTTCGAATATATATATATATATATATATGTATATATATATATATACATATACACTCTATAACAAAAAAATCAACGCACCAAGAAGGAGTTGTCCGATTAAAACGAAAATTGGTGGATAGGAACACAATGTACAGAATAGTAAATGATTAAAGTTTCAGAACAATTGAATAATTTATTGCAGAGTTACAGTAACAAGTTCAATAAGGTGTTGACCCGCCTCTAGCCTGGATATAAGCTGTCACACGGCGTGGCATAGACCGATAAAGCTCCCGGATGGTCTCTTGTGGTATTTCCTGCTAAATTCGATCCAATTGTCGAGCAAGCTCATCAACATTCCGTGCCAGATGCAATCGCTTTCCCATCACATCCCAGTCATACTCGATGGGCGAGAGATCTGGTGATCTGGCAGGCCAAGGAAGAGTTTGACAAGCTTGCAGACAGTTCATAGCTACACGTGCCGTATGTGGTCTGGCATTGTCCTGATGAAAAACTTGCCCTGGGCGCTGCAGAAGGAACGGTAGCAAGACAGATCCTAGGATGTCGTCGACGTACCGCTGTGCAGTAAGTGTACCTCTAATGACGAACAAAAGGGTCCGGCTGTCAAAGGAAATGGCACCCCAGATCATAATGACTTGGTGAGGGTCGGTGTGGCGTGCAATAGTGAAGGCAGGATCCCCCCTTTGCCCTGTGCGTCTCCAAACACGTATTTGATTATCGTCAGGACACAGTTGGAAGCGGGATTTGTCGCTAAAGACCATACGCCCCCAGTCGGCATCATTCCAGCCTGATCTGTTCAAAACACTCATGCAAACGAAATTTCAAAGCAATCGGATGATTGCTTCTTGTTGCGTCGGTTTTTTTTGTTATAGGGTGTATATACATATATATGTATATTGTATATATTATGTACTTAATACCTTTTTATTTTTATGTTTTACTGTGATATATATATAATTGCATTCCATACTTACATCTAAAGCGTTTAATGGTGCTATAATACAGTATGTTTGAATTTGTGACGAACAAATGTTGTAGATGGAGAATCCAGTTTTGGTGACGATACAACTTCTTCTATTTTTCCACTCATATAGAAAACTGTAATGCAAAATTATTATTTAAAGTACAAGAAACAGAATAATTTTGTTTCATTCAAAAAATCAAAAATCAAAATATACAACAGAAAGTTTCTCTCTTGAATGTAACGGAGATGGAGGGAGATATTTTAGCAGTTAATGTGTTAATAAGTTAGATGCAAGTGAAAAATTCGTCTTTTAGTAAAAAAAATTCATACATAAAATATTTCTGATGGAAAGATATCAGATTTTTTTTAAAGTTATTCAAATATGTTTTTTCAAATAAGTAAATAAAACTATTATTTAATTCGAATCTAAATATAGCCAATTAATAAATTCTTTGTAACTTGTACAAGTAGGTAAAACAATATAATTAACATTATACATTCGGAAAAAAATATTTCCTAATTAGACTATTGAACAAATCTTGATCTGTACTTCGATAGTTTTGACGAAACTCAAATTTTAAAATATTTTTTTGTATGAAATTACTGTTTAATAACAAACATATTCTCAGAGCATTGACATTCTGGCATTCTGACATTTTTTATTCGAACTAAGAGGCTTCACCAACACCCATGATTGTTTATCATTTATGATCATTTCTTCCTAAAATGCTTATATTTTTTGCAAAAAGAAATATTTTTTAGGTATAAGAATTAAATAAAAAAAAAATATCTTGCATAAAACACATTATTGAAGTATTGAACATTTGTTTATAACATTTTTAAAGTATACTGTAAATTATGAATTTTATTTAATTCAGTTGATATTTCATATGCCTCATTCCTTACGAAATTACTTATCCAATGATAAAGTCAAGAATCAGGACAAACTCATTTCTGATAACTTGTTCGAGACAACATTACGGATATAAACTGAACCTTCAGCCAACCTAACTTGAGACCCAATTTACTTTTAATGTAGCCTCACTCTTTCTTTAAATAATAAATGCAACATTCTTGGTTTTGATATAAGCTACAGAAACAGTTAATTAGAATATTTTTTTACAAATATGAGAGATAAAAGAAGGGAAAACTAAAAAAGAAACATTTTTAATTTCTTATGATGAATATCTAAATATTGAATGCGTCCAAAATTTTTGTTTTTTTATGTTTGTCCAGAATTATTAAATGACATTTTATAAATCATTCATATGGATAACAAGGGTATANCTATTGATATATATATATATATATATATACAGAGAGAGAGAGAGAGAACATAAGAAAAAAACCGCCAAATTTAATAGAAGGTAAATAATAATTTCTGAATAACAGAGATAAATTATAAGTGAGGAGTTATCAGAAACATGAGCAAAATAAACTGGAATTGGAAAGGTATAATGGATAAGGAAAAATATTAAGAAAACATAAATTTTAAAACTACTGGAAAATAATGAATGCTCAAAAAAATCATTGACTGATTCATTACCATTTCTAAAGCATAGAATATTCTCTTTTTTTAAAACTAAATATAATTATTTTATCATAATTAAATATCAAGATTAAGTGTTATAATAAATTTCACAAGAATTTTCTATTTGAATTCTTACATTCGGCGATCTTTTATACTTTAGTTATTCGAATTAGCATTAAGGTTAATTTAATTAGAAGCAGGATTTGTTTTTGCAACATGTGTCTTAATCTCACATCTTACACAATACCGATTTTCACTCGGTTACAATATGCTAATGCTGAAATGTATATTTCATACTGTAACCTTAATTCCAGGAAAGAAATTACTTCCTTTAAAAGTAATCCAAGTGATCCCTCAGTAAATTCAACCAGAAAGTTCATCGTTGAATATTAATAACTCGAATCGCACCAAGAATTTTGTACAAGATATATTAAGCATATGCACAATCACATGTTAAACGCTGCTTAGAGCCAAGAGACGCCAAACTTGAACGCAAAATTCCTGACTCATCTCGTCGGGTTCTTCAATCAAAGCTTTAAGAAGAGTTGGAACTGGCTTAAATGAATAATGTATTAGAAAGCATGGCGTATTTGTTTACCGTCTGAATCCACTGATAAAGGAATTATGTCGGGACCCTTTTCATTAGAATCTGGTGCTTCTTCGAAATCCTTCTTTATTCCTTCACATCTGTGGGGAGAGAAGATATATTAGAGAAAAAGACGTTGGAAATGGAGATTGATTGTAAGTTACACAATTCTTTAATTCGCTTTAAGAGTTTGAATTGCCTGAGAATTCTTTGGAAATTTATTTAAATATTTCTGTTAGTGTAATGATATGCAAATCACTCTGGGTGAAAGGTTTTTGCATCAAATAATAGTCATGTCTTAGCTTGTTACAATTTATGCACTCCCTGTTATTTTAAACCGTTAAAATTTATCAATAACGAAAACTTTTATTATTACTTTGATGTTTCAAAGTAATAAATATTTTCTTTCCTTTCTTCTGGAGAAGAAATTTATTTCTTTAATAAGGGAACCTTAAAGAAAATGTCAAAACAAATTAAAACATTTGTTTTTACTAGCGAATACATTTATAAATGTTTTTGTTTTAATTTCTCTCAAGCCACTACCCGGAAATTGTGGTGATGCTTTATTGTCAGAAAAATTCCCAGAATTCAGAAAGTTTTAGTTTTAATTAACAATCACTAAATAAAATATTTTGTAAAAGGCATAATAGTTTGCAGCTCTGAATTCATTATATTCTTATCTTTGTACATTAAAATGATACAGTGTTCATATAGATATTCAGTTTGTTAATAAATTGAATCAATGGAAAGTTTTCGTATCGTAGTTACAAACTAATTAAAATAGAACTGAATGCTTCTTAGATTTTAATGATTGTAAAAAATATTTGTAAATGTTTAAATATTTTTACTTCTGAGTTCAGACATAAAAAAAATAATCGGTAGCATTTATTTGCTTCCTTTACCAGCAGCATATATTTTGCAGGCTTTTTTTCCTCATCACGTGAAATCAAAAATTAAATCTTCAACTAATAATGTTCAGTTCGTTTATCATCATAGCCCTGATTTTTAAGTGTTTAGTTCCCCAAGTATGCTGCATGCTGTTTACATCCAATAATTCGGAATTACACATCTGATTAATTAGCTTACTGATTGTTTACATGTCTTTAATAATAATTCCAGATTCCTTCATTATATGTTCTTAGGGCACAATATATCACTCGTGAAATATATATACACATGTATCTGAGTCTCAATGCTGAGTTTACGACCACCCAAGTTTAACTCGGTAGCCTTGTTATTTGAACTCCAACACAAGACAAGGAAATTCCTGGATCAAGCATTGGAAAATACTAGCTTTCATGGAATGCTTTTTGAAGGAGCTAACCGCAATTTACGTTACACGGAGAGAAAACTTACGAAAACCTCCTACGGATATCCCGATGGCAAGGATATTCTAACCCATGATCAATCCAACACTGAAGATATTTTATGTCAGCACTATGGTCAGAGCAAGCCGAGAGCATAATTTGTATCAACCAGCCATCCCTAGGATTCGAATCTAGGTCACCTCTTAAGGTGACAAAGGACCTATCCCCTGAACCACTAAGGCTCCTTATACATATATCGTTTTATATATATATATATGTGTGTATATATATCAAAACCACGATCCTGTCTTCTAAATATGGTAGAAATTAATTATTCGAAAACACCTAGCAATATGGGAGTCAAAACGCTGATCCAAACCAGCTCTGAATTGTTTTTTGCGCAATTACAATACCTTTGATGTTAAGAGAATTATAAAATTATGCTTAAACTTTTATTGTAATTGATGTAATTACACTGAAATAAAATATGAAAATGGCATCTAATAAATGATTGTCATATCATAAATAGGCATTACATATTTCGTAGTTTCGAAATTAAATTAATTTTTTTTATCAAATTTATAATCCATTTAAAAGTTCTTATTCCCCTTCACAATTAATCCTTTACTCAGCACAATAATCCCTATCTTACTAATTTAATCCCTTTCTAAATAATTAATTATGATGCAAAATGAGTGGAAGTCGATCTTTAAACTTTCACTCTTCAACCGCTTTTATATTAGCAAAATATGTTATTAGATTTATTAAAGAATTTTATTATTAACGAATTTTATTATTTTTATTTATTAACGAATTTTTTAAAGCTTCTGCCTCACCAAATTTTAAAACAGCCAATTAGTTTAGATTGTAGATTAGTTTGACTTTTGAAAAGCATTCTCAATAAAGCATTAAATATAAGATTTCTCATTTTCTATTCCGTCAATTAATAAATCTATCTATTTTACTTTTCATTTGATACGAAGCTTTGCTTGAAGTAAAAATTAGCGCACACAGAAAAAGCTGTCGGAATGAAATGAAATTTATCATACGTAAGTGCTACTTTGATGTAAGTAAATGATTAAAAAATCAAAGCAAAATAATAATTTATTGCAGGAAAAAATACAAAGGAATGGAACTTTAAGTACCCCGTTGAACCACATTTAACACGAATACAGAATGCGATTTGTTTGAACATTGAGGCTTGCAAGTTCCTTCCGAGGTTCTGCGGCATATCATTCCACAATTGCTGTAAAAACACCACTAAATTAACTCAGAGGCTATCCAACTTGTCGTTCCATGTGGTTCCACATATGCTCGTTCGGTGACAAATTTGTGCATCCAGTAGGGAAGCGTGTTAATGTTACAGAGGCATTCCTGTGACATCTTTTCTCTCGGTGGCCAAGAATTCTTTTTTTTTGTTGAAAAATGGCTCTTGTGGAGCCCTGTTGTGAGTGGTAACACATGTGGCTGAAGAAATTCACCAACGTAACATTAGGCTGTCATGTCACCGTGGATCAATGTTAGGAGTAATCGTGAGGCGTCTTGTGCGATGACATCCCATTCCATCACGCAAGCTGCAGATTCGGTACACAGCTTTACTGCGTAGAAAGAGTTAACACACACTCAGACTTTTTACAATTTGGAGTGGAGTCCCCCTCTACGGGATTAGAATGCAACTAATTGAAACCAGGCGGTTTTGAATGAAAAATTCGGATTAAATTTGGACAATGATGACCATCGAGTACGAGTCCTGCATTCGCTGTACAACAGCATACGACTTCAACAGATGTGATGGTATAGGATGCCATTGCAATATCACATAATCATCCATAACATTGCTCCACAATGTCATGACAGCGTAGTGGTACGTCCACGACATCTTTCAATCACATGTGTTGCCACTCATGGCAAGACTCTCAGAAGCTATTTTTAACAAGACAATGCTCGGTCTAACACAATTAAGATGTCACAAGAACGCATTCGCCCCCTTGCAACCCTTCCCTTGGTCTGCTAGATTCCCAGGTTTGTCCCCGAATGAACCTATCTGAGACTTCTAGGAACGGCAAGTTGAAAAGACTCTTAGTTTAGTTGATTTTGAGGCGGTGTTTCTACAGCAACTATGGAACGAAATGCCACATTATATGTTACAAAGGACTTTAATGCCTCAATGTCCAACCATAGCGCATCCTGTATTCATGTTAGAGGTGGAGCCCGAAAGGGTACGAAAACCTAAACGTATTTCTATCTTATTTTATTTTCTTATTATCTATCTTATTTCAACCTCGTTGCGAGCACATCAAAACTACCCAAGGAAGCGTTCCTGTACGTCTTACACCTGCTTTAAATTGTGCATAGTATACTGCTGTTGATATGTTCAATAAAGTGTTTTTTCTTGCACCGGCAGTGACGTCATACTTCGTTTTTCGCATTTTTCTCGTAAACTATGGATTGTACAGGAATGCTTCTTTGGGCAGTTTTTATGTACTCCCAACGAGGAATCTAGCTGTGCAGAGTTTATGCGGTCGTTT